GTGTGCCTTTGCAGATGGGAGGAGCGTCCAGGATTTATTTCCGTGAAAAACACAATCCGCTCCTACTACTACAGTATTGCTACCAAGACAGAAAACGGGCCAGAGACAGATGACAAGTCAAAAGCAACTCTTCCTTGAGTTTCCCTCTCTGCTCCTCAACCCACACCCTTCCTGCATGGGACCTGGAAAGGCTCTCTGCGAATTTTTGCTTTAATCTCTCAAATGCCGGTTTTGTTTCTCAAGTAGTTCCAGAACTAAGAACCTGGGAGACAACGCTGCCACGGCAGACAAGGGCGCTCAGCCGTGCCTTGTGTTGCCAAGCAGCCGACCATGATTTACATCTCCAGCACAGGACAGTACTGACAGTGTTTTAGTTCCTTCTTACCCACTGCGAAAACTATCCCAGAACCTCAGAGCTTAATGCCGCCCAGGCTCACTAAGGATGAACTCTGTTGGCTCCAGCAGACCTGGATTTTTCCAGATCCCTTAAAACCCAATTCTTTCACAGGAAACCCCACCATGGTGGGGTTTGCATGGGGTGGGACCTAGGACAGGGAGCCGTCGAGTCCCCTTCCCTTTGGTTTAGGGCAAGAAGCAGCTGGTGTGCTGCTGGCTCCCAGCAGAGGAGAGGAGCAGTGGGGCAGAGCTGCACGGTGCCACTGCTTCATCCTCCTCGCACCCTGCCAGCTCTTACACCAGGGCACTGCCCGTGCTTGTTCAGCACGGAGTACGGCGCGTAAGCCCCCCGCACTGCCGCAGCCGTCCAAGCTGGTCATGGCTCCTGAAACCACCAACCTCCCGGGACCCACTGCTCACCTCCTGGATCCCATCTGGCCCCTCTGTGCTACTGAAATGAGCATCTTGCTTTGCCAGCCTGAAAATTGGTCACCCTGTAAATAAACTATTTTATATTTTCTAACCTACCCTATTACTCAGGCTGTTGAGCTCTCATAAATATTTGCCACTGCTTCAAGCTGACAAGAGAGTAACAGTCATTTCCTTTCAATATGCCAGGGTTTCCCTCCTTGATGCTCTCCGTAACCCCGCAGAGTCGCCAACCTGGCCACCCTTAGGCTGGGTTCGCTGGCGAGCTGGAGCTTTCTTGCAGCCTTCTTGCAGCAAAGGGCATATACAGTTGCTCAGCTGAGTCCAGGGTGGAAACCCACCTATTAAAGGGTTGTACTGGTCTCCCCCCACCCCCGGATGCAGTGGATTACCCATGCTGGGGGGACTGTGGTCTGCACTGTTGCAGAGAGCAGGGTGGTTGTGAAGGCTGGGAAGCGGGGGAAGCAGAAGATCAGAGCCCTGAGATACAGTGAATAGAAAAACTTATCTCTCACCATCTTCTGGTATCCGAAAGCCACACACTAGCTCACACAGAGTACCTTGTCCCAGAGGTAAAATAAACAGCTACAGCCCAGGCCAGGGCACAGCCCTTATCTAAAACCTTAATTCGAGGTGGATTTGATCTGAAGATAACAGGTTCCTGGGGAGCATTCAGCTGTGAGACCTAAATTACCCTCTCGGTACAACCTGGGTAAGCACTGGGAGAACCTGGGTCTGATGAGAAACAAGTGTTCCCCTCCCCTTGCTGCCTCCAGTGACACCAACCATGCACGCCAAAACATTTTCTCTTTCAACTGGCTTGTCCTGTGTGCTTGAGAACTACGGACATGTTATCCCTACCAGTCGAGGGGAGAACAGACATCAGAGGAGGACGTGGCTTGTTCCTCTTTGTTCAGTGAGTTAGTGGCAGAAACAGGAAAAAAATGATCTTCTGTGTCATGTTTTCCTCCCAGAGAAAGCGGATATTTTGCTGGAAAAGAGAAGGTTTGATGTGCTTACTGCTTGAAAACCACTGCCAAAACATTTTGTTTAGACTTTTCTTTCGAAACAAATCCATTTTCCAGTTTGAAATGATTTCTCACATTAAATTTTCAGCTAGCTGGTTGCTGGTATTTTTCAAATGGGGAAGGAAAGTACCAGAGAAGTCACATCCCCGGAAGAGCTTCTGGTGTAGTTGGAGACAGTTTTGAGGGAGTGTGTGTGCAGGAACCCTGACAGAGAGAATGGAAATCCCTGGAGATCATGCCACAAGAGTAAGGGGCAGAGGCTTCTCCTCCAGAAAGCCAGCTAGGCTGTGGATGTTGCTCTGGCTGTTCCAAGAGCATCACAAAATGTCAGGAATTGCTTTGGGGGAAAAAAGGGAGTGAGACAACCAGGACCCGACGACACAGGGCTCTGTGACCCATGCATCTTTGCAACTCCTGCTTTTGGCATGTGCCAGGTCTGACAGTCACCCCCGAGGGGAAACTCCTTTGACTTCAGGCACCTCTACCTTCCTGGGCATCCCCAGTCTGCAATCACATCTCCGGGTTCCAAAATGCAATGGCCCCGCAGACCCGAACAGCCTCTCTTCTTCCCCATCCACAGCACGGACATACTCAGCTCTGTCCTCTCTCCTCGCCCGCTGCTGGCAGGTCCAAAGATTGAAACACTTTGCTGGACCTTTCCGTCCTTTCACTGGCTGATCCCAGAGGCACAGGGTGTTCAAGCAAGAGCTGTGCCACCGCTAAGATAGAGGCATAGGCTGTCGCTAGCGCAGACTCGAAGCTTAGTGCTCTGTGGCTGCTTCTGCTCTCCCATAAACCTCCTCAAAGCATCCCTTTTCTAGCTGACCTCTCCTTACCTCCTTCTCTCCACTTACCCCATTTCCCTCTGTTTTAGCTGAATCTTTAAAGCTCTTCTGATTCTTGCACTCTCCATCTTGCAAGGGAAAAGATGAACTTCATCTTCCAGCTGAGCACCCGCACCGATAACACGCGACACGACGGATCGGTAATCATGTCTGATCAACACTACGTAACACTCCATCGTATCACCAGCACAGATCTATCTCCTTCCCACCTATCTTATCACCAATAAGCCTATCTTATCGCCGGTACATGCCTATTTATCAATTGCACTGCGCTATCGCAAGCACATACTGACCTCCCTATCTCTTTCAGCTATCTTGGCACTTTCATTTTGTTGAGCAGCACAGCAACTACGTGACTAACACAGCTCTTTGCTCACTGACCCTTGTATCGTACCCCTAAGCCACTTACTGAACCAGTGCAAAAGTATATTTTCAAAGCCAGCGCTGGATATTTGCCCCTTTCTCCCCAAGAAGTGGATTCCTCAGGGCATGGCTCAGCCCTGCCAGGGGAACCCCTGCTTCGCTGCTGGGCTCCTCTCGCCCATGAGCCCGGTCAGCAATTAAGAAGCTCGGGTTTGGCTGCTTGCCGAGCCTTAGGTATCTCTCATTAGCAAAGAAGGCAGAGCTAGAAGCTCTAGGCAGAGAGAGGGGACCAGCCCGAGGGAAGAGGCTCCAGGGCAGCTCTCTCCACGCAGCCCTGGCTGAGATGAGCTACTGCGGCGCTCAGACCTGCTCTGTCTTTGGGGAAAGGGCAGGTGAACATCAGTGAGATCTCTGGCCTGCTGGATGGCTCCAGCCGTTGGCAGCTTGGAGACACTGCAAAGGGCAGGGCACAGACCTGCTCACCCTCATCACCCTTCTTGTAACCAAATGTCTGGCAACCATGAAGTCACAGAATGCTTTGGCCCTGCCTTGATAAAATACACCTCAAACCCAGGGATTTCTTCATAAAAGCCAGGTGGATCACTGATCCTACCCTGTGCGCTTCTCTCCTTCCGTGATAGATCACCTTGGGTTTCATTACAGCAGAAGGAAGTGAGAGATAAGGGAAGGGTATGACTTGGCTGTGGTTGCCTGGAAGAAAAGCACCCATCCACTTCTGTCTGTTTTCATACTTTCATCTCCAGATGATGTCTTCTTTTTATGTTCAAAGGCCTTCACGGTTCAGAGAAGCTGAACAAGCCGAATAATGCCCCGGCACAAAGGGTGCCGGCACGTGCATCAATACACTCACCCAGTGGTGGCCCAGAATTAGCCCAGTCATATTGTAGAGGCTTTTACCATCAACCCATTGCACATGAAGAAAAAAAAGAATGTGCAAGGCGCTGGAAGATGCAAACCTATATGCAAAATTAGATGCTTTTCACTGACAAGAGGAGTGCCGGTGGTGGGGCTAGTTTAGGTATTAACAAGTGTTGAAGTCCTGAGGAAAAGAAACAGGAGGAGGAAATTATTTATTTTGCCTCCAAGAAATCTGGTGGAGCAGGTGAGGCTTGGACTGAGCCCAAAGGCCTTTTCTTCTTTTGTCTCTAGTTTTTTTAATGTTATCTTGGTTTTGCCCATCAGATAGAAATGTCTGCGCTGGCAGAGGAAACTGTCTTCACAAGTGGTTTTTTTGATCAGCAACAGAAATCTTGGAAAATAAGAGAGGTGGTGGTACTGGCTGAGAGGCTGTTGGGGAGCGGTAGGAAATTCAGCATCGCTCATCTCTTCCGACTTCACATGATCCCGTCTGAGGACAGGAGCACGCTCACAGTGCAAGAACAGGCACCGGGACCCTGCCTGACCGACCGACCGGCGGGAGCCATGGCAGAGAGCCAGGCTCCGCAGCAAGCAGGGAGGTGCAGAGCGGTGCCAGACGCAGACCATGTCACAAACAGAGGCTATTTTTGTCCCTAACTACCAGCAAACAGCGCAAGCAGTGAGAGGTGGTTTCAGCAACTAATTCTCCGTGTCGGTTTTTGTGGCCTCAAGCAATCACCTTGGGTTGATATAAGATGTCTCTCTGTTCGATTTGCAAATTGGGGTCTGGTGGCTGGTGCTCCCACTTCTGCTCTGGTAAGATGGCAGTTTCAGAGCCTTCTTCGTAAAAGCCTGGAGGACTTGTGGATATCCAGCAATTTGGCTCTTGATCCGAGGTCCCCTTATGTCCCATCCTCCCTATCTCCTCAACTCCCAGGCCCCCACTGCCCACGACCTCCAGCCCCTGCATCCACTGGTAGCTCTGGGACAGCGTGAAGCGGCCTCTCGCAGAGCAAAGAAGTCACAGTCCAGAGTAACTGGGTGTTGAAAGGTTAAATAACCAAATCCTTTGGTAAATATATTGTACTATTAAGCTAAGTTATTAAGTAACCAACCAGTTTGTTGTTGCTGTTGCTGTAAAGGGGCTGCTTTTCTTCCTTGGTAGCCTGGCCAGGGCATTAGGCTGGCTGCTGCACTGGCTGGGTGGCAAAAGAAAAAAACAGCTCCAGAAAGAAACTTTAAAAACTAAAATGGCATTTGATCCCTTTCTGTCCTTTTCTTTCTCAGATTTTGTCAGAAATGCTGA